TCAGTAACTGCAATCATGATTATGCTATTCCATATTAATTATGTTTATTTTTGTAAAAGGAAATCATGTTTATTGTTTGAAACATCAATAATCATCATCAATCAATATACCTATACTAAAGGCGAAACCAGAAATGACACTTGTCATAACCTGGTTAATATTTTTTTTCCCTCCAAACGGGGTTTTTTTTTTTTTTTTTCAAAGCTTCTTAGAGAAGTATTTAATTTAATACTTACTTTACAATAATATTTCTTTTCTATTTGGCAAGTATATTCACTTTTACACATTCAACAAAGATTTATTTATTTATTTATTTATTTATTTTATGATGGGAACAAAGTCATATAATACAATAATGTAATCTTATCTATAACTTTGTAATGTAAATATGTAATCCATAGTTATTTTTATTAGTCGTGCATGCATTTCTTCCTCCGTTTTCTTTAATGATTTAAAAAAATCGTAATTACAGAACTTTCATCCTATTTTGCAATTTGATATTATTTTTTATAGTAAAATAATTGTATTAAACTAATGATAAATGATAAATATTGAAATTACCGTGCATGACACGGGATCTAACCTAGTTATTGTATAAAGGCAAAGCTAACGAATACCACAAGACATTGGATAAGAAAACTAAAAGTAGAAATATTAAATTAAACATATACATTTCCAAATTAATACCACTTTAAGAAGTATTTTAAATGCTTATTTTGCAGAATAAATGTTGTTGTTTTATTTTAATTTTTTTATCATTGTTTGAAACATCAATAACTGTTGATATATTGATATATTTGTTGCATGCTGATTGGCTATTGACCATTGACAATGGACCCACTTTGTTATATTTTGGATTTCCATTTGCCATTTTAAATATGGTATGCAAACGCTCGTAAGAATGTTGATCTTGCTTTAAATAGTGGGTAGGCGCTTATGAAAATTCGTAAATTTATTATAATTGGTCCAATGGTTCAACAAATAAACATGAGTTGTATATACCTTATTTTTTGAAAACCGACCATTTATAGGTTAGTGATCTAGGCAACGGTCAAATAAGTCGTAACATTTGGTCTTTGTGGCATCTAGTTTAGTGATAAACTGATAACAACTAACAAGTCGGCCAACTATGATAAAATATAGATTAACTATAGCAAAGTAATTGATTCTCTATGAGAACACTTAAGAACAATGAGAATAAAATAGTAAAATTGGAAGAAAAAAAAGAATTTAAATTAAGTTAATAATTGGAGGTCATGAATATTTATAATGTTTAAATTTTTTTGTGGTCAAGGGTCACCATTTGAAGATTAATCAATTAAGATAATTTGATTTTGTAATGAACAGATTATATTCCTTAATTATTCATAGGAAACTACATTTTGGTTATACACTCACCCAATTGGGAGAATAAATCAAAAAACATGTTTGTGTTTGTCAACATGATACATTTGAGTTCACGACCGATCAAGGTACGAGCAATCAAACTATCCGTAGGCCTTGTTTGGTAGTTAGCTTATTGGGGCTATATTAGCTTATTTGACCAACTTTAGCTGATTGATTAGTCAAATAAGTTAATACAAGTGTTTGGTAGTAAGCTTATTGAATAAGCTTATTTACCTCAATAAGCTGTTTTCCAAAACGTTGGGTAACCCAACGTTTTCAAAGAACTGATTTGCTTAACTTGTATTTTTTCTTCCTTAATTTCTTTGTTTTGATTATTGTTTTTCAGTTTATTTTATTATATTTGTCATGCATTTTTTTTTGTTAAAAGAAATTATCTATTTTAATCCAAATTTTAGCAATCCTTATCTCCTCCCCAAAAATTATCTCATGTTAACAAAAATTCGAAATCCTTGTTAGTTGTTACCCAGAACAATTCTGTTTTTTTTTTTTTAAAATTTTAATTAAACTATATATGTGCCTTATTAACTGTTTTGGCTTTTAATTATGTGATTTTTTTTCTTTTGAATTATATATACGTTAATTTTTTTTATCTAAATTATATATGTATTATATCAGGAAAAAAAATTATACATCGGATGGCAAATAGGCAATCCAGAAGACGACGGCGTATTTCTTAGACATAGATTTTTTTTAATTTAATAGACATTCTCATTTTCCAATATCAAAAGGTTGTTTGCATTGTAACATTACAAAGTTCAGCTTGTAATATTTTTTTTCGATTTCATTGATGTTGTGCATTCACTATTGTTAATATAAAATTATTCTTGCAATGTTCATATAAAAAATGATCTTCTTTCAAAAAAAAAATATAAAAAATGATTTCACAACTTCATAAAATGAATTATGTACAAAAATTATCTCATAATATCATTGATAAAATTATATGCCCAATTATATCTACCATGTAAATTTGTTAACAATAAATACATATATCATTTATGAAATAACTACTTCTTCAAAGTTAAATTTGCTAATGTCCTTATTGGTCATTTTGCAAACTCAAACAGCTTTAAGTAATCAGCTATTTACCAAACACTTTTATACAATCAGCTAACACAATAAGTTAGTCAAATCAGTTAATAAAATCAGCTAGTCAAAATCAGCTAACTTAATCAGCTTGAGCTTTCAGCTTTCAGCTTTCTCCCAAACAAGGCCGTAATCTAAATATGTTGCTCGTTCATTCGAGGTCAAAGTTCTTGACTTCCATAAAAATTTGATCCAGCTTTAAATATTTATACTTATACACTTGTTTCGAGTTATAGTTTTTCTATTACACCAATGTAAAACTTCCTTCCCAGCATTAGATCATGTAAGATAAATAAACTAACTTCTACTCTACTAATATAAGATTTATTTCCCATCATTAATTAAATAACACGACAATTATGAAGTCTACTCTAACAAGTAAGACACTTGTCTCAAAAATTAAAAACCTAGCAAATTACTCTATTTATTGGAAACGGATCATCAGATTAGATCGAGTCAATCGGGTTACCCAACTTATTATTGGAGTGATGAGGGATTGAATTGTGAGATGGAGTATACTTGTACATGTATGAGTTATTATTCGCTATGTATTTAGCAATATCCAGCGCACTTGCATTAGTTGATTATTTAAGAGCACATCCATCTAAAAATGGGGAAATGGGAGAAGGAATATACTTGTACTAGTTGAATTTATGGTTTAGTTGAGCATATATAAAGCCTCGAATCCATGTCATAAAGTCACAACCACACTTAATCTAAGTAGTGGACCTTGATTTTTCTGCCACCCAAATCCTTATCTTTTAATAAAACAACCAAATTTTTGTAATGAGTATGAGAACACTACTAGTCGTGACCTAGATAGAGGTTCTCAAATTAAGAATCCAAAGAAATTAAATGGACTTTTGAAAGCGACTTTCCATGATTATAATAGCTTAGGTGGCATCTTGTTGGCATGGAATTCTCTAGAGAATTAGACACTTTAATTTGAATAAAGAGAAATAGATTATTATTCAAGCTTATCTATAATGTGAGTTTGAATAAATAAGGGTAAATTTTAGAGCACAATGCTCAAATTAATTGATATCTCATATGCTTACTAGCAAATTATGTTTATGTTTATACAAACATGGATTAAAAGCGCGTATATATTTTTATAGAATGAGCTTAATCACACTAAATTTTATAGACAACTTAAATAACTATGTGTTCAGTTGTGCATGCTTGGCAATGATGCACACAATCTAGACTAGCATATGTTTCTAACATATAAAAATAACTTGTATATATAAAGCACTAACTACATGTATGAATGTTATTACCATGTATAAACTCACAGAGCTTGTGCAAAATGTCATAGTGAAATACTCCGTAAATGTGTACATAACATATCGTGGTCACGTCATGTATCCAAATTATGTACTACCGGCCTACCGTCGTTAACTTTTAGTTGCAACTTTGAAATATTTTATATCTCACAAATAATAATCCAAAAGTGCAACTAAAAATTAACGGAGGTAGGGCATGTTCTCTTATGTTGAAATTCAGTTTAGTTTAGTTCAGTTCAGTTCATTTCAGCTCCTAATTTCCTTCTGTTATAAAATGTTCATTTCAGTTCAGTTCAGCTCAGTTCAGTTCAGTTCAGTTCAGTTCATCAGCTGAGTTCAGTCAATAAGAACAGACCCGTAGTATACAATGTATAACTCAAATAGCGGCACATGTATGTGAAGTGTATAGAAGCAAGTTTACAGGACACACCACCTTTGCCTACTTCCGGTTAATAAGGCTTAAAATTTGCAGCATGGAACAAAGTCAATGAAAGGAGACGAAGGATGTATTAGGTATTAGGTACTAATATAATTATAAATATACTTCGTAGTATATAGATGTCTCATTACAAGCTGCTGAGTAAAGAAATTTATTTTAATTTTCATCTCAAGTCTCAACAGCTGCATGGTTCACAAGCTTGTCGTCTAACAATTGTTTTATAATATCCTTGATTAGTTATGGTCAACCAACTGGAATATTTGACAATTTCTTCAGTATATGACTCCTTTCAAAACTATTGACCAATCATTTTAGCAGACCTTGATTTTTAAACAAAGAACTTTCTAAATTAGGAAGATTAAAATTCAGTTGAACTCATTGAGAAGATTAAAACAAAAATAAATTTCATTCCACTATTTAATTTTACTTTTTTATTATCGAAATAATTTAATATTAATTCAATACGCGCAGAGAATATAGAATCAAACTGATTCATCCTTTTTAGAATTCGAGATGATTAATACTCCGTAACAAATTTGAATCAAAATCGAGCCCAACACAAGTGACATCTATTGGTAAAGATGTACTACGTAACAATGTACTTATGTACTGTATTTACAATTGCAACTTTGCAAGAAGAAATATTACCCAAACAAAATGATAAAAAAAGAGAGTTACTATTTATAGAAACATACAAAATTACAGGGGAAAAAGATTATATTACAAAAACACCCAATTTTTTTGTATTAAGAAAAAAAAAAAAAAACACTCAACATTATCATTTATTTAACAGTTGAAGCAACAGTGTGAGCCCAAAATCTGAGATAATCCTTCATTTGAACTTGATTTTCAGGAGCAGGAACTTTCCAATTAAACACATAGTTTTCTCTTCTCTTCTTTTCCAATTCTTCCCATGCTTCTGACAAGTAAGGCCTTGAAATTGAACTGCTGTCATGACTATTGTTATTGTTATCGTTATCGGTATCATTACGGCTGCATATATCATTACCCTTTTCGCGAGTATGCTCGCTACAGTTTTTTAACCTGTGTAATCCAGGAATAATAGTAGCCAAACTTGAATCCTTATCTTCTTCTGAAAAAACAAAACCCAGATCAATAAACCCTTTTAGCTCTTCAAATTCAAGGTCTGATAAACTTTTGCTTAAATTCTTCTTTTTCTTTATTCTTCCCAAATTACCCTTCAATGGTGTACACCCAGTTTTTGGGGTTGTAACGGTAACTTCTGGGATTTCAAAATCTGCTGAAATTCTCCCAGAAAATATAGTTTGAAGTTTTGGGGAAAAAAGCACAGAATTTGGAGATGCAGAAGAAGAATCACTTAGTTTTTTTTGGGGAGAAGAATTTGAGCTGATTTTTCTTTCAGCTGATTTGGTTTGAATTGTTGGAAGAGTTGGAATTTCTGGATTTGATGAGGGTATTTCTGGGATTTTTTGAAATTTAGTGGGTTTTTTCTTGGTGAGTAAATCATGGTCAAACCAATAAGTATCATAGAGATTGAGGAGAGTTTCAGGCTCCATTAATGGTGAGTTTGAAGCTTTTTTTGTGAGGAGAGAGAAAATGGTGAAATTGGGTGTGTGTGTTTTTTTGTTGTGGGGGATGGTGGATTGCAGAAGGATGGAGAAAGGGTATTTATTTGGTTTTTTTTTGTTGACGAAAATACCCTTTTGTGATGTAATTTCTCTCATGGGAAGGTCAAATTGTCAACAATTTATTAAGAGTAGGTCCTTGGTCTTTTTAAGTTGATTACACGCTTTGCACTATGTGATTAGATTAATGGGCATGTGAAAAAAATTTGGGTATGTTTTCTTTCTTTTTAATGAACTTATATTAAACAATCTTTGTACAAAGTAAATTTAATTAAGTTAGGACACGTACATAATTATTCAAATTAAGTTAATATTAGCTCATGCAAGTCAAAACGAGTTCAATTTAATACGATTGGGCCAATAAAAAACTGAGTTGAGTAAGGTATCGGATCGAGACTTCGGGTTGGATCATTTCGGTCGGGTTTTTTTTAGGTTGGATTGAGTTTTGAATCAAGTTCAGATTGAGTCGTATTAAGCACTTCATTTCAAGTCAAGTTCAAGTCAAATTGGATGAAGCTCGGAATGAGAGATTTATTGTCGTCGCGGCTATTACTGTTGATGAATCATATTTATAGGATTTTAGGCACATTTATGCTAGTTTTGTAGCATCTTTTACGCTTTGTTTGGATAGCAAATAAGGAAGGAAAGGAAGAGGAGGGAAAGAGAAGGAAGAGACAAGAAAAGAAAGGGAGGGGGAGGTAAGCTCTATTTTCCCTTCAAATCTCCCCAAATTTGGAGGGAAAGAGAGGGGGAAAATGGATCCCTCCCCATCCTTTCCCTTCCTTCGATTCCCCTATTCCTTTACCCAAACAAGAGAGTTTGTCCCCTTCCCTAGCTTTCTCTTCCCTTTTTTCCCTTCCATTTCCTTCTATCCAAACAAAGTGTTAGTCTTTTTAGTCGTTTTTAGGGGTCATGTTTGCATAAACTATCCAATTTGTGCTCTATTACGCTCCACTTGTGGTTTTCTTAATATTTTAGGTGATTTCATAATCATTTAATTTGAATGCTTTCGAGGTGTTTATAGAGTTGATTCAAGTAATATGTGAACGAAACGTAGATCGATTAAGTTCGTTGATTAAATATTCTATGTTTGTGGATGTTGATTATGAGGATTTTATGCATGAGGAATAAAAATAGCAGCCATAAGGGCCACTATTTGTCTTTCGGCATTGAATTTGAGTTGAAAACGAAGTTAAACGATGATGAACGATATGTCAAAACTGACCCTTATACACTCTTTTGATCATAACTTGAGTTCTACTGATCAAATTGAAGTGATTCAAGCTAAGTTGAAAACTAGACTTGAAGAGCTTTCCAATGATAGGTTGAACGTCCCTATACGCTTCCAAGATGTCGAGATACAAACTCTCCAAAATTGATCATGCAAAGCTACCAACCCATGCATCGTCTAGGGCGATGGGTGCGCTGTGCGCTTAAGTGTGAGCTGCTGGTTGGGGCGATGGAAAACCAGCGCCCGCTGGTCAAACTCCCGCTGTGCAGCTCGTCTGACCATTGACCACACAATGCTCGATGGGTGGATATGTGCACATTTGATGAAGAGTCCTTTGTGAACTACAACTCTTTAATTTGACCAATCATTAAACGTCTTTTTACTACTTAGTTCCTTCGTTTCTTTTTAGTTGACACGTTTCTTTAGTGAAATTAAACCGTTAATATCTCTAATTATCGATAAGCAAAAATTTTAGAAAATTGATATTTTGAAAATATATACCGTGACAAATCTAACAAGATCCTACATGCCTATATTTTTCATTATGTATAAAGTACAAAATACAGTCAAAGAAAATTATATGAGTACTGCTAAATTCAAAACGTGTCAACTAATAAAAAAAAAAGGAGGTAATACTAATTTTTATTTTTATTTTATTTTTTTTCAACAGCTTTTAAATTTGTTCCTAGTAGGAGTACTACTGTACTAGTTATTGTTTTCAATTAGAATAAGGAGTATGTTTCTATTGCACATTGCATGTATTTCTTAGTTTTTACAAAGTAAATATAATATGATCCTCACATAATATGGAGTATTCTTTACACAAAAAATTACTGATACAAGATAAAAGAACAGAGATGGAGTACAATATTTTGGACAGAATGCTTAGATTAGGTTAGGGAAAACAAGGTCATATAGTCAGTGAGTCAGTGACAAACAAACTCAACTTTATATAGTCAGGGAATATTTAATAGTTCAGCCTTTAACATGATACACGAGCTGAATTGGTGCCATACAAATTTCATCTCTTATTGGTGTCGTTATGTCAATTGTCTTATTTATTCTTCCTCTTATTTTCCTTTTATGTCAACTACAATTGTCATATTTTTTTTTAATTTTATATTTAATTCTAAAGAAAAGCCAACCTGGCAACGTGACTCCAATAAGAAGAAGCATTATTGTTACCTTGACTTTTTAAAGGAATAAAAAGAAGCAGCATATATGCACATTGATCTTGTGAACTCAGATGATTTCAAGAGTTGTGGGGTGTGGGTTGGGGGGTTGTGTTTAGCATACATTTGTATTATCATAGAGTAGGTTCTAATCACGTTTACAAGAAACTTGATACACATCATACTAGAAAATGTTCATCATATATACAATCGGTTAAATTAGGTACATCTAATTTAAGGTTGTTTTAATGCTTATTTGCACGCAAGATAATAAGGTATAATAACTTTATAAGTATACAAACGATGAAATGATTGTTTACATAAAATTATTGTCATTTGTTTAAGTATATTAAGGTCGTAATTCGTGAGGAATCACATGACCCACCTTTTATTAAAAAAAAGGGTTTTATTTATTTATTTATTTTATTTTTGTTTTTAAATAGTCCACTGATGTTTCACATGTGATGTTGCATCATCATTTGCATTTTGACTTATCTTTAAGATCACTTATTTACTGCCTTATTGGCTTTGTTTGGTAACTAGCTTATTTGAGTAAAATTAGCTTATTTGATCAATATTAGCTTATTGATTATTAAATAAGCTAATTTAAGGTGTTTGGTGGGAAGTTTATTTAAAAAGCTTCTTTCATTAAATGAGCTCTTTTTCAAAAAGCTCCTTTTAGGAGTCTTTTCAATTAGTTTATTTATTTCTTATAGTGAAGTGATATTTATACTCTCATTTAATATAAAATCCTATATGAATTACCTACCCCACATTTAGCTTATTGGTCATTTCACATAATCAATTAGCTTTAAACAATCTGCTATATACCAAACACTTTTATACAATCAGCTAATAAAATAAGTTAGTCAAATCAGTTAATACAATCAGCTACTTAAAATCAGCTGACACAATCAGCTTCACCTTTCAGCTTTTCCCCAAACACGACCATTGTCTTTTTGGAAAAACAACTCGTTGTTTCTTTACCCTCTTCTAGGTTTATTTTGATTTGTTTGGCCGTGGAAACTAAATGAACCACTTTTGTAAATCTAACAAGACCCCACTTGATATAATTTTTTCCATATAGATTATCGTATATTTAAGGCCAAAATTTGGTCAAATTTGACATTCAAATCAGTAGACCAGATCAGATCAGATCAGATAAACTAAAATAAGGTGAACTAAACAATCCATTACTTCGTGATTTAGTATGTCATTTGATAAAATTCTCAATCTAATGATTGATGATTATCATTAATCATGCTTAGACTAAATTGGATTGTTTGATCCATAATACAAATAATTGGAATCATCCATAGTTTTACAAAAGTGGATTGTTTTATTATCTATTGGTTGTATGTGAATCAAATTTTGCATTTCAAATTCAAGCTTGTATACAAATATACAATGTTTATGTTTTGATATAATTATGATGACAAAGAATAGGGTTATATTTGGGATTTCTCTTCTATACAAGTATTGTGTACATCTCTTGACCTAATTTGTTTTAATCAAGTACTTATTTCAAATAAAGCAAAAGCAAAGAAAAGGAAAGTTGAACCAATGAGCAAGAATTAAATGTTTAGAATGCGTTGCATCTTGCATGGACACATAAAAGTGCTATGTACCACTTTACATTGCATGAGCATACAGAGAATAATGGTGTTTATGTTGTGGTCATCCACATTACCTTTTGTTTATTCATTGTCCCTATATCTTGGTTTATATGTAAACATACTTTGTTAAAGATGTCCCTCATACATTGCATGATGTTGATGTCTTAAACTTACTTGCCACAATTTATTAGTGCCCAAATTTTAAGTTGTTATGTCCCTATCAAAGTTGAGGGGTGCACCATCTAACTAATCATGCAATTAAATAGTAATATGGATGGCTATATATTGATGATGTTTCTTTCTTTGAGTTTCTTTGAAGTTACTCTAGTTCTTTATAAAGTTTTATTGTGTTCCCACTTTTCAATTTCTTTGTAGGAGTTGAGGGTGGTTCATCATTTTCAAAAGATCATCTATCAATTACATACTCCGATCCCCTTTCCATTGGTATTAACTAGTTGTCTTATTGATAGATCTTCACGTAGTGAAATAAATTATTTACATATATCCACCACTCCCTCCGTCCCTTTATTAGATGTCTATTTCTAATATTTACTATTCACATAATAAAAAGAAATAGATATCTAATTAAGAGATGGAGGGAGTAATAATCTGTTGATTTTTCCCATAAATAATTTTATTTTTTGGCTTACATCATGTCCATTATATTTATTGGCCTACATATATAAACCAATATCTTAATCTAACGTATGCAATGAATGATAAGCCCCCTTAAGTAGGCAAATAGGTTGTGATGCCTCTTTTTTTTTTTTTTTAGATATTGGATCAATTAGAATCTGTTGACTTGGTCCTCCCATAATTTCATAATTATGAGACATAATCCTACTATATGACCAAGTAATACGTGGTGATTGTGATGTTGAGTTAGCTAGTGAATAAACTGTTTCAATTAGG